CAGGGAGCCAGGTGGCAATCTCAAGTGGCACTGCCACAACCTCACGCATTTCCTAATACAGCTTGAGATGAACAAGGCCTTCGTCTACACTACAGGGGCTACACTGCTGCTTAGATTCAGTCCAGCTTTGAGAGTTTGGACTTTCTGGTGGCACTGAAGGCTGGTGTGATTTATGTTGCCTTCTGTTTTCTTAAGAAATAACACTTTGAAAGCTGAGCCAGACATGGGATTTTTATCCTAGAAGAATTCAGACCAAATAGTAGGTCCGTCATAACCCTGATGATGAAAATAAAATCTTTCACCACTAGAACTTGTTGGGCTGGGGAGATTGGATAGTTTGGCGCTGAGACACAACTAGGTAAAGACTGACATGGAGACCATTCCTATGGAGGGATACTCTCTCAGCCTAGATACATGGGGGAGGGCCTAGCTCCTGCCCCAAATGATGTGACAGACTTTGATGATTCCCCCATGGGAGGCCTCATCCTCTCTGAGGAGTGGATGAGGGGTGGGATGCGGAGATGGTGTGGGGAATAGGAGGATGGGAGGGAGAAGGACCTGGGGTTGATATGTAAAATAAGATTATTTGTAATTTAAATGAAAATTAATGATAAAAATGAATGACTGTGCTGTAGTTGTATTTTTTGAATTTTGGATTTATTTATGTGTATGAATGTGTCTACATATATTATATGTATGTGTATCACATGTGTGCCTGGTGCTTACAGTAGTCAGAAGAGGGCATTGGATCTTCTGGACCTGGAATTGCAGACAGATGTGAGTCACTATAACTGAGTCCTTTGCGAGAGCAATCAGTGCTCTTAACCACTGTGTCATTTCTCTAGCTTGAACACTATGGTTCTTGTAGAGCGCATACATCTCAAAACAGGGGTTATGGGACAATGTGGTAGGTCTAGGTGTAGATTTTAGCTTTTACACTATCCTAATTAAATTTCAGACTGGCCCAATGACTAGCATATTATGAACAATGACTAAAATAATAAGGCAGAAACCAAAATAATCACATTTCTTTATATGACTTCTGGGCCATGGACACTTGAATGATCCACAAATATAGTTTTTAACTAAAAAGAGAACACTAGGCCTTCAGGAAGGCCTAGTTTTCAACAAGGGGCAATCCTTTCTGAATCTCAGCCCAGAACTCTTTTGAATACAAATATAGCAATTTTTCTGAATCTCTAGAGTGTCCACTGGTAGTTGTTATTTTATATGGAGACTGCTGGTATCTTTGACTTGGGAACTGCTGCCCATATCTGAGCCTTTGCAAAAACCATAATGATGGTAACATTTCCTTTGCCTCTAATGGCTTTTTCTTGTTGGTGTCTTTTATGAGTCTTCCTCAGATACACACATTGCCCTCATGGAACCTCTCATTGCTTCCCTGATCTCAGGAAGAGACAGGACCTATACATTTAAACTGTCATAGGTGACTAACTAACAGTACAAGTGCCATTTGTTTCACAACAGGGAACAAAATATTAAGGGCAGAAATACATGGACCACATGGCAATAACTAACTCTGAATGCTGGCATTTTATGATAACTTTATGTGTGTTTTCGCATTTGTACATTTTTTCTTGTTTAGATTCAACTGACTATTAAAGAAGACCACCTCACCAGAATCTGTTAATCCTTCTTTAAGCACTGATAAAGAGCTCAATTTTTTTCTGGGATAGCTCTTAGCTGCTGCTCTTAACCTTTGAACTAGAATAAACACTGGGTAATTTCTCAGTAACATTTGCTGACAACCAAATTCCTACCAAGGCTGAGGCAGCCTGTGACACCCTTTGAAGGAGAAGATATGTGTCTCCAGTGGTGTATCTTTCTGAAGTCTTTCCTCCTAAAGCAGAAGCCTTGTAAAGGGTCACTTCTGAAGCAGAGATTTTTTTGAGACAAAGTTTCTATGTAGCCCCTGCTGTCCTGGAACTTGCTCTCTAGACTAGACTGGCTTGGACCTCACAGAGATCTTTCTGCCACTGTTTCCCGAGTCCTGGAATTAAAGATGTGCACTACCACCACACTGCTGAAGTAGAGATATTACAAATGGAATGAAATCTAGTTTCTATTCTTTACCGCTTACAAAAACTTGGGTATTTTTGCAATCAGTTTGCCTAATATTAACATCCAATTGGATCCATTTACAAATGATGTAAACATACAACCAGTAACTTCAGGAGCACTGGTTTGCTAACTCCAGATGCCTGTGAGCCGGTGTAGGGCCCTTCCCATTCAGGCCACCTACTCAGACCCCTAGTGACAGGAATCAAGGTATTTTCCTCAGGTTCAGGAGTAGATCATATTAAAACCAAACCTGCTACCAGCAGGTAAGTGACAAAAATATTAGAATTGGTGATTCTCATTCATGCTAGAAAATGTCACCCAGCTTAATGGCACATACTGAAACCCTATATTAGATGACAAGAAAATTTTACCCTTTTCCCTGTCACTAGGAATAATCAGCTGCTTGATATTTAGTGAGAAAACCACAAATGCCTTAGCAGGCACAAAAAAGAAACCTTTTAGATTCCTGTGTGTCTTGCCCCTTGTAGCGAACAGACTAGGTGTGAGTAAAAATCACCTCAAAGTCCTTTCCCTAGTTGGATTTAAATGAAAGTGGGGTTGGAGAAGAGAAAGGGAAAAGGGGAGAAGAGGAGAAAGGGAGGGAGGGAGGGAGACAATGAGAGGCAAGAAATGAAGCTGAACTATATTGTAGTATTCTATTTCAACACAATGGAACAGAATTCCAGAGCCAGGAAGGACCTTGTTGTGCTATCCCAATCTGTAGACACGCGGGCTCACAGAGCTGCCAACGGTATTCATCACCACTAATATAACACATCAATTCTGGGATGAAGAAACAGGCCCAAGAAGGGGAAATAAGTTACCCAAGCTGTCTCCATGATAAAAGACAGTTCTGGGATTAGAGTCCTTGGTTTTTAGAATTTTCTGCTGGACTCCTATTCCCTTTATAGTCAGTTACTTACATATCTATGACATAAAGCACCCCAGGAGACAATTTTACATCTAAAAAAAAATCCCCACCGGGTGTTGGTGGTGCACATCTTTAATCCCAGTACTCGGGAGGCAGAGGCAGGCAGATCTCTGTGAGTTCGAGGCTAGCCTGGTCTCCAGAGTAAATTCCAGGACAGGCTCCAAAGCAATAAAGAGAAAACCCATCTCGGAAAAAAAAAAAAAAAACTAAAATGCCCAATGACAGAAATTCTACAAATTCATGTTTCTGTCACTGTGAGAAAGTACAGTGAAAAATTAAAGAATAAAGTAAAAGGGTTATTTTGGTTCACCACTTCAGTCAATGGTTGCTTGATTCTGTTGCTCTCAGCCTGTGGCAGACCAGAATAGCACAGCAGGTGAGCATGGAAGTGGAAGAGCAAAGAAGAAGACAAAGGAGGATAGGATCCTATAATCCTTTTCAAGGGTATGCCCTCCCTATACCTAACTCCCAATTAGGCCCCATCTACTAAAGGTTCCATTACCTTCCAATTGCTCCTTGAGCTGGAGACTAGGCTTCTAACACATAGGCCTTGGTGGGTACATTTCAGATCTAAGATATAACACCCCTTGTGCAAATGCATTTTATTGCCATTTATGGTTAAAATACTATAAAATATATAATTCAAAGATCTCTTACTGTAGCACATATTCATTACTTTTTGATTCTGTCCATAGCAGAAATGAATAACAGATGTTCATTATTACCTACAATATTTGAGAAAGGTGGAGAGTCTGTGTTTGAGCACATATATCACATACATATATACATATATGCATATGTAACCAATAATTTAAGCCTATGTAGGCTAAATGACTACTCATGACAAACTATACCAGATAAATAGCACATAGGAGAGAGAGAAGACTTAGGCTTTATCTTTGTTTGCTTTCTGAATGATAGCAATACATAGAGGGCAATCTAGCAGCTAATCATCCAAATCCAGTGTCTTCAGCTAACCAGACTAAGTTGCTCATATTCTGCCTAGAAATGATAAACAGGTTATGAGACTATAGGTTAAAACTGCATATTTACTTTGGCAGAGAGAGAGAGAGAGAGAGAGAGAGAGAGAGAGAGAGAGAGAGAGAGACCATAACTAGTCCTGAAACCTCTACCTTCATCATTTCTAGTCTAGGGTAACAATTCCTGAAGATTGAAATGGTGGACAAAAAATCAGCAATGCAAGATTCAAGGTGTCATGGTGCATGCCCACAATCCCAGGACTCCAGAGGCTGAGACAAGAGGATTGGGAATTTGAGGTCAGCCTTGTCTATGCAATGATACCTGTCTTAAAAACAACAATCTCAAAAAATGAGCTCAATCTAAGAAGATCTGATGGTAGACTACAGTTATTCATCTCTACTTTAGCAAAAAAAAAAATAGCCCCTCTTGTAAACAGCATTATAGTGTACTTCTGTAATTCCAGGACCTGAGATTTGGAGACAGGAGGACCAAGAGTTCAGGGTCATTCTCAGCTACACAGTGAGTTTAATGATAACTTTGCATACTATGAGACATTGTATCAAAAACAAAATAGCCCCTCTCCTTCTCAGAAGATCATCTTTGCAATAGGATTCTGAATCTGAAGAGGAAGAGGTTTGCAGTGTTATGCCTAGAGAAACAGATCGACTGGATATATCCAGAATATAAGTGAGGTACCAAATTCAGTAGCCAGCTATGCATATATCCCCCCAGGTTTCCTTACTGAGGCAACAATATTGGCTCAAATATTTTACAGCATTTTCAACAGATAGCAAGAAGATTGTCAAGCCCAGTAACCTAACATAGATTAGTGGCTTTCTGTAGACTGACTGCCAACAATATTGTTCTGGAAAGAAGTCAGTTGAATAACTGACTAAGGTATATTCACTGAGGTAATCAGACTGTTTCATTGAGCTTAAAATGGGCTCCACATGACTGTGATTTCTCCAGAAATCCAAGAAAGGCCCATGATAAAGCAGTTACTCACGGCGATAAGCTGGTAGGAGTTGTTCATCATGGCAATGAGCATGTTCAGCAGCACTACCAGGGAGATCACGTTGTATGTCCCAAACATCGTAGCTCCCACGAACTCGGTGAACTCGTGTCTGGCCTTCACATTGGTGACATAGAGATTTAAAAGGCCAAATACAGACCAGAAGAGTGACTGAAGGGTTTCAAAGAGCCTAAAAGTGATACAAGAGCAGGTTAGTTATCTGAATGAGAGTATAAGAGAGCAAACATGAGGTAGTCTATAAGAGGGCAGTCAGATTTGCCATGCTTGTCCATTTTAGTCTCCTTATTAACTCAACAGCGTAGCCAGGACATTTCATTTAGACACTTTGCTCTTCTTCCTGGGATATTATCTCTCCCCGTCTCTGTACTGGTAACCTAAAAAATGCTCAGAGCTTCTTTTGTGGGCTACGTCTTCTATCAAACCATTTTCCCCATCTTCAGACCATGTTGGGTTGGCAAATTCAGAGCTTTAGAATATGGGGCTTTACTAGTTGGAGGGAGTGTGGCTGGAGAGATGGCCAAGTGCTTAAGAGCACTTGCTACTCTTTTCAAGGACCCAAATTTAGTTCTAGGATCACACTATAACTGTAACTCCAACTCCAGGGAATCTGTTTCCTCTGGCCTCTATAGGACTTGCACTCATATGTCCACACCAACATAAACATACACACACACCCCTACATGTAATTAAAAAAATAAAAATCCTTTTTAAAAAGGTAATGATGGAACTTGGGCTATACTGCTCTCCATGGAAATCTCAACCCATGGAATATAGGTCCCATATATGCTAAATATGATCTCTACCACTGAGTTGTACTCCAGATCAAAAATTCTACTTTGTGGTTCTCATAGGACTCAGATGGTTCTAAGCTCAGTGGAAGAACTTGATGAATCTCAAAATAATAAGTTACATATTTTAATGATTATATATTAAGTATTATTAAGAACTCTCTATATAAGCATGTTTTACATGTTCTTTTTAAAAATCTTAATAAGATCTTCTGGCTTGCCTGGAACTCACTGTACAGACTGGCCTGTAACTCAATGAGATTTGCCTGCCTCTGCCTCCTGATTGCTGGAGCTAAAGGTGTGCATTACCATACTTTGGCTTGTTTCACATTTTAATGAATACATTATTTTCGTGACTCATAAAACTTTACTGTAAAAAAGCAGTGGCTTTTATATTAGAATATGAGTTACTAATCTATAAAGTGATATGGCACTGCAAATAAATGGGAAAAACAGGTGATGCGGTTCCCTAGGAACAAATACAAGAGATTTTTATATGCTAACTAGAGGATTTCAAAATCTGTGGAGGAAATATTGACTTTTTAATTAAAATAGAGCAATAAATTAAAGAAAAACTTTATTATTATTGATGATCTTACATTCAGAGATTGATTGGCTCAAGGACACTCAGCTAGTAAGTGCTGAGCCAGAATTCAAGGGCAGGTCTTTGTGACCTCGCCAAGCCATTACATCAGTCTCTATTAGATGGCTTTGCAAATTATTGCTTCCTGTTTTAGTTTCCATACCCAAACATGGGATGCTGTAATAATATACTTTTGGCATGTGAGGTTTCATCTGTCTTGCCTTCAGAAATCTACATACAGCAATACCGGTGCAGTTAGCTCATGGGTGGCACATAAGTCATTTTCCAAGCACAAGGGACTGTAGAACATAAGAATCACTACTCAAAGAATGAATATACTTTTTCAGTTTACTCAAAATGTATTGCCAGTTGCAAGGTGGAATCAGGAGTATCAGGAGTTCAATGTTATACTTGGCTACATGGGGATTTGGAGGGCAGTCTGGTCTACATTAGACTGCTCAAATTGGAAAAAGAAAAGTTACTCTCACACTTCTTTTCTGGAGTGTTGGAGATGGAACAAAGGCCTTGTATATGCTATGTAAGAACTTTAGCACTAAACTTAACCCTAGCCCAAGAATTTGTTTTCTTTAAGAAAAAAAGGATCTTGTCTTTTTGGGTTGCTTTAGTTCATCTGCAATTTACATATAATAATTATACAAATTTGTGGGGTATAGTTTTGATCCAGGTAAATTCTGTGTGATGATCAAATCAGGTTAATGACCATCTTTACTGCCACTAGCATCTGTCACTTCTTTGTGGTGAAACATTAAAATCTGCCCTTCTAGCCACTTTGGAATATACATTGTCACCCTACTGAAGACAAGACCACCAGGGCTTTTGACTTGTATCTTAGTGCAACACTGTTTTCATTGACCAAGTTTTCCCATCTCTTTTTCCTTCCTCCTACTCTTCCTGACCTTTCGTAGGTTTCACTCTACTCTAGTACTAGACTTCTAGAAGCTTACTTTTATCCCCATTTAAAGCTTACATTTTTTTTCAGTTTTTTCTTCTTTTTTTGATGGTGCTGGTGGTGGTGGGTGGGGGGTGTTCGAGACAGGGTTTCTCTGTGGCTTTGGAGGGTGTCCTGGAACTATAAAGCCTACATTTTGTTTGATGCAATTAAATACTAAATGATGAGGTGTTTGAGAATCAACAGTAAGATTTGAGTCTATAGTTCAGGGTCCAGGACATGAGAAGCAGAAAGTATGACAAGTGTTGGGATGACAGGTCTGTTACTGACTTACTTGATGCTAGGGGTAGAACACAGGGCTTTGTGCATATTAGGCACAAACTCTACCAACTGAGCCTCATGCTTATCACCTCTCCTGAATGTCCAGGAGACTGGAAGTCATGCAATATGGTGCATCACATAGCCCAGCAGAAGACTACGAAGACTAGGAAGATATGAGGTGCAGAAATCTAGCTCTGCTAAGAGGGTACACAGCACAAGTGCTTTTTACACATTAGAAGTCAGGACTAACAGGACACCAGTAATAGAGCAAAAAATTAGCACAGCAGCTGGATGCTGTAAGTTAAGGAGGATGGGAGGAAAGCAGGGGACATCTAGTAAGAAATTTTGAAACATGATCAGAACAAGAGAAGAGCCTTCATTTAGGACTAAGTTTGTATTCAAGTGAATAAGGTGGGGAAATGTACACTAAATGACAGCTGGAGAAATTACCACTAATTAAGTAGGAATAGATGCCAATAAGTGCTAATTGTCTGGTGGAAGGAAGGTGGGACTGGCCTGATAGGTAACATACCTTTATTCTCTTCAGCACCATATCTGTGACTATTCTATCTTTGTGTGGCAAGTCGTTTTCCTTCTGTTGTTTTTTGAAACAGCATCATGATATCCCTCAGGATGGCATGGAGCTAACTAGGAAGTTCAGGCTGGTCTTAAACTCACTATCCTCCTGCCCAAGCTTTCTAAGTGCTGGGATTAAAGGTATGCACCACCATGCCTGCTCCACAACCAACCTTATATAACTCCATAGAACCAGTTATAGTCCCATATCTCAAGTGCAGATTGGAGCCTGTATGTCTGAATTGGTATCATGGCTCTGCCAGTTAGGGTTTATGCAACTAGAAGTAGCTTCCTTAATTGCTTTGGACCTTAGTTTCTTCATCTATACAATGGGTAAGCTGACTACATCATGCTATGGAAGGAAGATAAAGTGTGTTTGTTCACATAGACATGATTTATAAGAGTACCTGGACCTCAGAGCACTCTACGATGTTAGCTATTTTTATTATTACTGTTAAGCTGTCTATCTTCATGTTCTTATGCTCCTTGTAGCTTTCTGGGTCTTTGTAGATTATTTGTGTCTCTAGTGCTTCATAGATGTCATCACAATACATCCATTTTTTTTAATGTTTTAAGGTTTTTATACTGGCCAGTGAGATGACTCAGCAAGTAAAGGTGCTTGCCGTCACACCTGACTACCTGAGTTTGACCCTCATAACACATATGGTGGAGAGAGAGAAGCCACTCCTGTGAGCTGTTCTCTGACTTCTACATATTTACTGTGGTACATACTCACACTCCCCCCCCAGCCACATATATAACACATAGATTGAAAAAATGAATAAAATACATTTTACAAATTTTGGATACAGACACCTTTTATATATAATCTTCATATGTATCATTTTAATAGCTGCCCAATATTCCACATAGCAATGACTGACAAAATTACCAGTGCTTTGGCTGAAAAAAATCAGTGGCATGCTTCATAGGTTTTTCAGATGAGACAGGACTGAGGAGGATAGCTAATAAATTGAAATGCAGAATCAAGATTAAGAAAGAAAGTTATCCTCTGACCTCTTCACTCATGCTATGGCATGCATGCCCCACTTCCAAATGTAATAAAAAGATTCCGAAACATTTCAACAGCTTGAAACAATGGGCTGAATCTAACAGATGGAATATAATAGAGATCCATGTATAGTTTTGCTCTAAAGCCAAGTGTCCAAGTGCTGGATGAGAGCAATAGGGAAAAAAGCCAAGGGGTTTTGCTAAAAGCAAGCTTAAACTGATCCGTAGAGTGGCAGAGTTGGGTAGACAACTATGCAGGGGTACAAATAGAAGCAAGTGATCTACAATTAGGATTTCATCATGTCCACCCATGTTGCAGATGACTTCCTTGCAGAACTGGTGACTTTAAATAAGGTCACTAGACTCAACAATGTTTATTTTCTGGTGATACTTTATAATATTTATATGAGATTTTACCACTGGGGTACATCAGATAAAAGTTCCACAGATTTCTCTTACATTGTTTCTCATGGTTGCATGCATGTAAATCTATAATTATTTCCAAATTCAAAATGACAATTGTCACCAGTCTTCATTGTTTCAATTATTTGATAGACATTTTGAATACCTTTATGTTCTGGGTCCCTGTATGCTAAGTACAAACCTGGTTACAATTGGAGTCTCAGTTTTGTGGAGACAGAGATAGATGACTAAAATAAGAAGGTTACACATTACAGCCGACTCATGTTCACAATGCTGTAGGGCAACAGATGAAATCCACAGCTGAAAGGGGGTAAGAAAAGGCTTTAGAACAGGTGACACTGCTCGATTCTAGAAGGCTGGAGAAGAGTTTGGCAAGTTGGCTAGGTGAGTGCGGTGGCTAATCTTGGTTGTCAACTTGGCACACCTGGGAAGAAGGAGCCTCCCCTAAAGAATTGCCTCCATCAAATTGGCCTATTGGGCTATTCTGTGAGAACATCTTATTGATTTCTAATTAAAGGAGGAGGTCCTAGCCCACTGTGTGCAGTATCATCCCCGGGCAGGTGGGTCTAGGCCATTTAAGAAAAGTAAGTAGCATTCCTCCATGGTCTCTACATTAGTTCCTGCCTCCAGGTTCCTGCCTTGAGTTCCTGCACTGACTTCCCACAATGCTGAACAATGACTTGAAAGTGTGAACTGATAAAAACTTCCCTTTTCCCAACTGCTTTTGGTCAGAGTCACTTATTACAGCAACAGAAATCTGACTTGGACAGTGGGGACAGGCATTCCAGAAGAGGGAGGGATGCATCATGTATAAGATCCATGCAACTAAAGTTTTGTGTATCCGGGGAGCAGAAAAGATTGACTATGAAGGAGAAGAGCGAAATCCTGCAGAGACCTGCTACAAATATCCAAGATCCTATACATTATGGCAAAGAGGTTGGATTTACAGAGAAGAGTATACACTGGATAGGCATGGAGTCAAAGGGTGATGAGATGATATAAGATTTAGAAATAAATTTCCACACGGTGTGGGGAAGAGTATTATGAGGTGGAGATAAGACTGCAGGCAGGGGAATCAGTTAAGAGGCTGTTGCTGTAGTTCTTAGGATTTAGGCCTGAACCTAAACAGCGTTTCTTTCTGTCTCTGTCTCTGTCTCTGTCTGTCTGTCTGTCTGCCACCCACACCACTGCCCCTCTCTCTCTCTCTCTCTCTCTCCTCTCCCCACGCCTGTCTCTCTGTCTCTCTCAATCTCTCACTCTCTTTCTCTCTCTTTCTCTCTCTTTCTCTCTCTTTCTCTCTCTTTCTCTCTCTTTCTCTGAAACACTGGATGTTTCATGAAGAATAGTGAGAATAGTGTAAGAGTGTCAGATGACTGCTAGGGTTCTGGCTGGTGTCATTTAATGAGCTGAGGAATTAAAGGGAAAAATAAGTGACAAAATGGAGATGAGTTATTTAGTTTCGGACAGTGTCTTGAGTGTCCTTCGGAATGAAGAGCCAGGGGTTTTCAAGAGGCATCTGTAGATGAGTACCTGAACCACTGAAAACAGATGCAGGACTTTCAGGTTAGCATCTTTTATACTATCACTCTGTAACCCTCCCAAATGTTATGGCCAGAGAGTGATGGTGCCTTCCCAACCGCCTCTTCCAAGAGCAGATGAAGGCCCAGTACTCCCAATGTGGAATGTGGAGCTCAAATCAACAACAGTGTTGCCATGTAGTTGTCAGCAAGTGTATCATGTTCCTCACAAAATACATTTTAAGGGGAAAAGAATTTTCACCACATTTTAAAGAACAATAGCAATGGTGTTCCTGGAGAATCATAAGGGAGATGAAAAGTTGGGCAGATACCAAACTTTTCATGAGGTATCTAAACAACCTCACATTCCGCTTCTGTAACAAGCTGTCTTTCTAATGTTCTAGCTGAGCAGCATGCATTTTAGTAGACATTATTATCAATGCCCAAGTCAAAGAGTTTAAAAGAAAACACATTTGAATCAGGCCTCTATGGAGGAAACCAATCTGATGTTGAGGGGAAAGCTGAAGTGACATTACTGCCACTTTGGGTCCAAGTATGGCAATGTGTCTTCATACTTGATACCTCAAAGATATAATTTCATGTATGGCAGATGCCCATTTTTGTTGATAGTCTCTGCTAAGCAAATGATGGGAACAACAAGTCTGTTGCTTACAGGAGTATTAATAATGATTACAAACTTGCAGGGAGGCATTTCGTCCATTTCCTTAGCAGAGCTCATGTGGATGGGGAATTGGTAAGGAAAGCACCTTGCTTTCAATTATTCCATCCTTTGGAACACTTTTTATAGGCATGATGCTGTCTCTTGGTGCAAATGACACAGCAGAATTGCTCTTTCTAATGAAACTGGGTTGAAATGAGTCCTGTCTCCAGAGACATGCAGGAGAAGAAGGCAAAGTTCCTAGTAAAGAAGCACCATTAATGTGCTAGGTTACTGTTCTGCACTTGGCTTGGCTTAACAACACAGTGCTAACTCTTGACAAAGCCGCTTTGGACCTTGATCCTCTCACTTTTCTCATCCAAGATTTTGCTCTGATCTCTGGGAGGAGAGATGGGCTGTAGTCTGGTGGAATAGTGCTGCAGTGTGCAATGGAATGAGACAACATGGTTCACACCAACATGTGCACAGGAGAGATCATTTGGAAGATAAGAGGAATAACGAGAGATAACAAATTTGGGAAGACCTCTTCCTCTTGCTACTCATGGTGGAAGGTCTGTGAGACTTTCTGACGTAAAGAGAACTTTCATATTTTGTCTGAACTTTTCTGAAATTCATCTTACCTCAGACTATTTTCATGACTATTACCAATCCATTGAACTGTGGGATCTATATAACTCACTTAAGGAAATACAGCTAGAGGCATATCGTATGGGAAGGAGAGAAAGCATTGAATTTTCCTATGAGTATATTTGATCAAGATAAAATACCTTTGCAACACTGGGTAGGATGGTGAAAACCTATACTCCTAGCGCTTGGGAAATGGAGACAGGAAGACCAGGAATTCAAGGTCATCCTCAGCTACATGGGAAGTTCAAAACCAGCCTGGAATAATATGAGACCTTGTCATCAAACAACAGCAGTAGCAGCAGCAACAGCACCTGACACCCTTTGTCTCTAGCTTTTTGTTGTTGTTCTTGAGACAGAGTGTTTCTGTGTAATCTAGGGTGGGCTCAAACTTGTAATCCTACCTCATCCTGGGAGTGCTGAGATTCTAGGCATAAGTTACCATCCTTGACCTGGTCTTGATTACTAAAGATTATCTAGAATGTCAAAGTCCACTGAACTACTCATAGTGTTAAGGAAGGGGCCAGCAAGATGCCTCAGTGAGTAAAACTGCCAGTCACCAAGCCTGATGACCTGAGTTTGAGCCCCAGAACAAACCAATGTCTGGAAGTATGCAGTGTCATATATGTGATTGCTCTCTCTCTCTCTCTCTCTCTCTCTCTCTCTCTCTCTCTCTCTCACACACACACACACACAAACACACACACACACACACA